GTGCAATGAGGGGTGCAATGGGGGAGGGGTGCAAAGGGGAAGGGGTGCAAAGGGGAAGGGGTGCAAGGGGGGTAAAGGGGTGTGTGAGGAGGGGCCAATTTCTTTTTCAAATATTCATACACTCACCGGTAGTAAAACAGAAATGTGTGGATGAAAAACTGTCGGAGAATGTTGGGTCAAAATACAACTGAGAAATGTCAATGTGTCAATCTTCATATTCGATGTCGAGTTCTTATCACTGAAAATAATCACAAGATATTTAGACTCAATAATATATAAAGTATAACAAACAATTTCACAAGTCATGTATGAGTATGATACAATAAACATGCAGTAGCTTGTTTTTTTCATGCAGAAGGCAGTGCCTTCACTTTGAATCTTTGATGTTTTCTACGAGTACTGAAATGAACTTACCCGAGCGAGTATTGAATTCCAGGAACAATAGCGGGAATATGATCTGATAGCGCTCCTGGTAACACATTCACAAGTTCTGTCAATAAACTGAAACAACCCTAGAAAAATTCGTATAATTTTTTCAGTAATTTGCGTTTCGTACAAAGCATGTAAAAGCTGGCGTGGCAATGATCATTTCAACAGGCGCATGGGATAGCTATTACAGCAGGCGCGCGATTGCTACACATGTCAAAACGTACAAGTTGCAACAAATCTGCAGCAGACTTGTAGCAATGCTGTTCCAACAATTTGTCAACAGGATGTGTTCGCACTGCTTGTTCCCAGCTTGTTGACAAATTGTCAACAAGTTGTTGATTCAACATTCAACAGACTTGTTCCAACAACAACTTATCGTCCAGCAATTCCACAATTTGTCAACAAGTTGCGAGTGACAACCTTGTTATAGCAACTTGATAAAATAACAACATTGTTACGACTTGTCGACAAGCTTGCCACAAGCCTGTTGCGAACACACCTTGTTGACAAGTTGTGAGATTTTTACGCGTGTAAACGGTAAAAACTGAGTAAAAATTTATGCTGAGCAAAACCAGCAAAACACTGGACTTCAATTTTATATTTAAAGAACAGAAGACACACATGGCAAAAAGCGAATCTTGACGAGATACATGTGCAGGTGTGTACCTCAGACGGTCAAGCCTGTAAAAGTCTACCAATTTTGGTCAGTCAGAATCCACACTGTTTCAAGCCCATTTTCCACTACGCGAATTTGTTTGCGCGAACAGTAAAAAAGTAGGAACTGATCCAACTTTTTCGCGGCGAATTTTTTCCGCTGACCAATCACATTGGCAAGATTTATTTTTCGCTTCGCGCGAACAAATTCGCCTGGTGGAAAATGGGCTTTAATTCCACAAGACTCGTAGCTATTTACCTGTCTTGTTTTGAAACTTTTTTCCCTTAGTTGTTTATGAATTGCTTTAACAATGGCGGGAATTTGGGCTTGAAGTAAAGTCAACGGCCTGGCAAAAATCACAAGAAGAATGAGATACGTTTTCCATCAAAACGTCAACAATATATGTAACAGCACAGAAATATAAGAACCTAGATTTTTCTAAGTTAGCCTAAACCGGGTCTTATGTACTGTACATGGCCAAACGTAGTAGGAATTTGATCCAAGTTAATTGAAGTGACCAAATCATGCAAAGACGAGAGGAGTTTGAACTGGAGTACAATTGTACGTATGTTTTAAGAAATAGGAAATATAATAGTCAATAATATAATGCGACTTTGCGCACTTGTTGATTTAGTTGATCATAGATATCTTATATAAACTAGATAGCGCATCTCTTTTAGTAAAATTGAAGCCAAGGATATTCCAGCGGTTACCCCACCACCACAGCAACCTAACTAAATACACTATATTTATTGAATGCTTATGATTGATGATAAAAATACGCAAATATTTATTGTTTTTATCATCAATCATAAAAATACAATAAATATAGTGTGTTTAGTTAGGTTGACGAACAAACGTTTAGTTACGAACAAACGTACTCCGGTTTCCACCCACAGGGAAAGTCGATAGGGTGCTTACCAGGAAATTGGGCTAAACAGGTTCTTAGATTTCTTATTTTCTTAAGGGCAAAGGACTCATTTTGGGGAGGTGTGGTATATAATTTATATAAATTATGACAAATTATCTAACAGTCCATGATGCTGGAAGACATTGCTTACAGTCACTAGTAGTTGAGATTGTCATGTAGTATTTTCACTGAAGAAATACAAGTAGTTAATTATTAAAAGTAGTCAGTAATTCATACATTATTATTATTATTATTATTATTATTATTTATATAAATTATGACAAATTATCTAACAGTCCATGATGCTGGAAAACCTTGCTTACAGTCACTAGTAGTTGAGATTGTCATGTAGTATTGTCACTGAAGAAATACAATTATTTGTTATTTTTGTTTATACTAGTATATTTGTTTATAAATATTTTGTTTAGGCAATTAGACATGTTATTTATCTCAATGACATTTCTAGGGTTCTGGGTCATTTTCATTACTTTGTGAAGAGCTTATTTTCTTTGATTTATAATTTTTTAGTTTTGAATCTATTTGATGCTCAAACAGGTTTTATACTGTATTGTTTCGATATTATATTGTAACATTACCTGTTTTCTTCGTCCATTGCGTCAGGATCAAAAGATGCCGAAGTAATAGGTCTGGTCTGACGTAATAACGCTCTGTATGCATTGAATATATCACATTTTACACTGTCTTCTCTCTCTGCAGGAAGGAAATGTTGGAAGTTAGAAAACACAAGTTAGGTATTTCTCGAATCATTAAATAAAAAGGTGGAAAACGTATCGCACTATGGGACGACCATTGGTCCCAAAAATGTACGACTTCAAAAATGCAATTACAAGTGCATCCATTTTAATGCAATAGTGCGATGGTGTATAAATGTATCAGACCATAGAATGATGTAGCAAATGTTGTATGGAAAATGCATTTTTAGCCAATCTGGGACACCTAATTTTCAAAATTTTCTGGGGCTCCCCTAGTATAGTAACCTTTTTGGCATCTGTATTTACCTTAGGATCCGACCCTTGATGCATGTTATCTAAATTAGTTTTATATGTTGTATTCCTAAAAGTATTATTAAGATTCTCAGTTCACTGAAATAATTTTTTCTGTTAAAATATAGCATGAGATCCAGTTTGACAACTTGTTAGTATCACATAGTCACAGTGTCGATGTACTTGATTATTTGCAAAAATGTTGAATTTTCCCTTGCGGTCCCAGGAAGTAAAATATTTTCTCCACCCCTCCATTAACAATTCGTCAAACAAATTAACAAAACATAAACACAATCAACTTTTGCGTTAAATTTCTCTTTAAATAGGAGTTCGTTGAATTTAAGTTTCTTCGTGTACCTTTAAATCGTCCAATCAAAGCGGGCGAAACGGTTTTATAAAATTCTGTCAGAAGATCAGGTCGTGAACCCAGGACGGCGCCAAGACATTTTGCTGATGCTCGACGAACCTAAAGGAACATAATCGCAAAGTTTCAAATTGCAAAGTTAAATTTGTTTCAGCTTAACAGAACAGATTCCAGTTTTCTTCTGTTGGTTAAGTAAGGGATGTCTCTTACTAGATCTCCAGGGAAAACAGTTGAGGTTTCCGCCTGCAGTAACATTGGATCGATAAGAATTGACCCTATACAGTAGATCTCTGAAGAAACCTGTTTACTGCAGCTTTCATTCTGCAGAAACGCTGGATCAATAAGAATTGACCTTTGCTATATCTCTAGGGAAAACAGTTTAGGTTTCCTCCTGCAGTAACACTGGATCAATAAGAATTGACCATTATAGATCTAAGGGAGAACAGTTTATAACTGATAGAGCTATCCAGTATAAATAAATAAATAAAGAGAATTTAGTTTAGGTTTCTTCCTGTAGAAAAACTGAATCAAATAAGAGGCAGTCGCTACTGGATCTCTACTACAAACAGTTCAGAACTGATAGAGCTATCCAGCATCAAGTTGGGTTAATTTACTATAGTTCATAGTAGTCTTACTTTCCAACTCATATCATCATCGTCGCTGTATTCTTCATCGTCAGACCTATAAATCAGCCAAATGTTTACGTTTCCATACAAGCAGCTTACAACAGAAATCATTGCTTACACACAATCTACAGGGATACATGTATATCTTTCATTAAGTATCCTTCATTACCCCTCATCATCGTCTTGATCATCGGTATCCATACTATCGTCATCTTCGTCATCACTGCCATAGTTATAGTTTGGATCAAAACATATGAACTCCAGACACAGTTCTGTAATCTGCATTCAAAAACTCATTAATAATTCATGAAGCAATTATCCAATCTTGAGTAAGAAATTAGTCACGTGCATACGTCTTTATACCAGCTAAAGAACACTTTAACAAAAGACCATTGTTATGCAAACTATAAAGATTTTTATATAAAGATTTTTATATAAAGATTTTTATATAAAGATTTGACTTATTATGCAAATGTTTTTGAAGTCATTTAAAAAACTCGTGTTTTATTAGGTCTAAAGCCACACGCGCTGCGCGCTCGTGTCTTTAAACCTAATAAAACACTCCTGCTCGTTTTTTAAATAGTACTTAAAGATAGCCAAGAATATAAATTGTTTATTTCTGAAAGGAATTTGGTGGATCTACTTTCGACTTTCAGACCAGTTTACAGTTGCAATTTTTGCTGTGATTTCTAGCCAGATTTTCACCTTCTGATGCATGTGAAGGAGTAG